ACAATCATAATTTGAATTAAACTCTAGATTCTTATCTAAATCATATCTTTATTCTATCTCTGGCTCCGTCAAAACCTCTCCGGGAGGTCTTATGGTTTTCCGTGTCTTCACAAAAGGTGAGGGAGATCCTTCTGTGAACTGAAACAATAACCAAAATACCAGTTGAAAAAAGGCCTGGAATAAACTATGACGACAAAATAAACAAGGAATAGTTTCATCAAAAAAGGGATAACATCTTCATCCTTGTGTAAATACATTACCTGTGCTATGTCCTCTGGTGCTGTAAACCTACGTTTTACAACTCCACAATTTGCTATATATGTGTATTGGGAACCATATTGTCAGTCTACATGAGGGAAGGGGGGGGGGGGGGGGGGGGGAAGGATGGAAAAATGATCAATAATTGGGAGAGAAGCCACTTCAAAAGCTACTAAAGGCTTTCAAGTGACAAAACTTTCCTATAGCTAAGGTAATTTTAAACGTCAAGTGACAACACACGTCCAAACGTTGCAAAAGGCCTACGGCAACGTTTTTTGAACATTGCCATAGGCTATTTTTGTTGTAGTGTATAACAACATCAGATTAACTAACTATCTAACCTTACTACGTGGTAAGAAGCGTTTATTATTAATTGGTTAATTGATAAAGCACTAAGACCATGTGTCCACTACATTCATCAATTTCATAATTTTGACAACAATTACTTGATATGAAGATCAATATTTGTATCATGTTCAATAGTCTCTCCCGAGAAAAATCGAACGTATCTTTACATATGACCGACAATCTCCCTTTCCCGAAAGTTAAATGCAAAGATGCATTAAAATCACAAGAACAGCAATTGGATCATGCAATGCATAGAGTATTATCTCTAACATCTATAAGATCTTATAATGAATGTTATTGTATGTCATCTTTCCTATTTTTTCTCATGAATGTTAATAGAAAATACACATCAATTTAATTAGTGACCAATTAATTGAAATAATTGAGAGCATTACAAACATCAAAACTAATCAATTGTCTTAATGTCAAAATTATATAATTAATAAAAATTAAAATATATGGTTCAACGTTATCTAGCATCTATACAACTAGTCAATCATCAAATAATTACAAGAACACCAATCAAATGTATACAACATCACTCAAAAATTAGGATTTGGGAAGAAGACAAAAACTCTTGAATCATGAATTCCTTAAATGGTTTTTGAATCATTCTTGGATGTATTCTTCTTCTTTAGTAATCCCAAACAAGGATGTAAGAAATATGTAGGAATATGTGTCTTGTAACAAAATCTTCTATCATAGCTTTCCAATGAATATTAATACATTGAATTCCATTGGCTCTTTTCTCTATAGAATTTGTAGAATATGTGTACAAGAGACCCTTGCTTCCTCATTTTGCTTGTAGAAGAAAATATCTATTTATAGAACAAGATTTATATTAAAATTTGAGCCCTAGAAGAGATTTATTAGAATAAGGAAAGTAAATTTTTCATGACCAGAATAAGAGTTGCAATCGCGCCGTTGGATTTGGTGCAATTGCACCCTTTCACTTTTGGTTCTCAAATTTCCTCATTTGTTCATTGATAAGTGTATTTTTGCACATTTATTAGATATTTTAACAAACTAATTATTAATTAAAATTGAGTGAATTTATATTCACAATTGTGTAATTATGAATTTTGTAGGTCAAAAGCCCAAAAGGAAAGAGAACAAGGCAAAATGAAGTGAAAAGGGACCAAAAGCGTACACAATCGTGAATTTGGGGACCAAAGGCACAAGTCAAAAAGTTGAAGGACATTGGGTTGCAATTTACAAAAGGCATGATTGAAATGAAACTCAAAATTCGAGGATCAAAATGTTCAAGATGAAAGTTGAGGGATTTGTCATGCAAATAGTGGAAGGCTGAAACGCAAAGAAAAAATGAGAGTCGGGCACTCGCTCGGCTCCAAACAGCAAAAACTTGATGCGAGATTTTTCCAACCGCAATTGTACGGTGTCAAGTTTTAATATAGTGAGAGTTGAGTATCGTTATCCACAGGGATTGATATCAAATCCTAATAATTCCTGTAATTAAAATTACCTTAATTTTATCTAGA